GCAAATTACAATAAGGTGGAGGTGCTTCTCACCCTGGGACAACCGCTGCACTCGGGAACTTTCTAGGGCTTCACTGAAACACACCAAAACTTCCCTGACTTCTCTCATCACAAAGCCAGCCAGTAGAATTTAACTTGCCAGGTTACCTTGAGACTGAAATCCAGTGCACAAGCAATCCTTTCCTGGCTCCTCTGTCTGTCCTCTTTACCAGGAGCTGCTCTCCGTGGAGCATGGCAGAGCTCTCCAGGCAGATAACTACGTGCCACATGATTAGGAGTCTGGGATAGGGGCATACGGGATTTGCATAGATCTGTGCTAGAAATGGAAATTTGAAATTATATTTTCATTTTCATTTAACCTACTTAAAAACAAAGGGAAATGAAACTCTGAATATATTCAGTGTCACTTCGATATGACTGCATCCTTTGGGTTACAGGGGAGTGAAAAAAAGACTGCCTGCAGAGCATTAAAGGACCAATTACAATTAAACAGTTTCCCAATTCTGGAAATCAAAACCTATAATCGAATATCCAAGTTGGAAAGTCCTAGGAGACAGGACCATCCAGAGGGACCTTGACAGGCTTGAGAAGTGGGCCTGTGAGAAACTAATGAAGTTCAACAAGGCCAAGTGCAAAGTCCTGTGCGTGGATTGGGGCAATCCCAAGCACAAATACAGGCTGGGAGGAGAGTGGATTGAGAGCAGCCCTGAGGAGAAGGACTTGGGGGTATTGGCTGATGAGAAGCTGAACATGAGCCAGCAATGTGCACTTGCAGCCAGAAAGCCAACCGTGTCCTGGGCTGCATCAAAAGAAGCATTAGCAGCAGGTCAAGGGAGGTGATTCTCCCCATCTACTCTTCTCTCATGAGACCCCACCTGCAGCACTGCATCCAGCTCTGGGGTCCTCAGCACAGGAAAGACATGGACCTGTTGGAGCGGGTCTAGAGAAGGGCCGTAAGAATGATCAGAGGGCTGGAGCACCTCCCCTATGAGGACAGGCTGAGAGAGTTGGGGTTGTTCACCCTGGAGAAGAGAAGGCTCCAGGGAGACCTTAGAGCAGCCTTCCAGTACCTAAAGGGGGCTACAGGAGAGATGGGGAGGGACTCTTCATCAGGGAGTGCAGCAATAGGATGAGGGGTAACAGTTTTAAGCTGCAAGAGGGTAGATCTAGATTAGATATTGGGAAGACATGTTTTACTGTGAGGGTGGTGAGGCACTGGAACAGGTTGCCCAGAGAAGCTGTGGATGCCCCATCCCTGGAGGGGTTCAAGGCCAGGCTGGATGAAGCTTTGAGCAACCTGGACTAGTGGAGGGTGTCCCTGCCCATGGCAGGGGGTTGGAACTCGATGATCTTTAACGTCCCTTCCAGCCCAAACCATTCTATGATTCTATGAAGGGATAATATACTTTGTGTTTGAGCCTCCTTCCTTTCGCAAAGAACCGATGTACTCTTCCTTGCCCCTTGAAGACTTTTTTTTGCACTGCTTTTTTTTCTCTATTTTCCTGTTGGATGGAGACTGCTGGAAACCAGAGATTGAAGGTATACTTTGGTGTACAGGCAACTAGAGACAAACACTGTTATTGTCACCATTCCTAATACAGCCACAATGCTGAATATACAAGGAGTCTTGTGGAAGGACACCGCGTAGACACTCCTGCAATCAAGCCTGCTGCCACATTCTTCCACGCTGGCATCCTTCCTACTCACATTTCATATTATCTCCCTATTTTAAAAGCTCTGTAATTCTCAGCATTACCACTGAATAATATATTTATTAATTTGTTAGTGCCACTAACTGTCCCCAAGGCTCTTCTTGGGAATGTGTGTCAGCTTATTGATTCTAGCCCTCCTCTCCCTGCACTGCTTTCCTCCTCTGCCAGGCAGACAGGAATGTACTTCTGTGCTGCTTTAGGTCATAATTGGAAAAAAGATAGAAATGTTCAATATGACTCATACATAATTCAGCTTATCAGCTACCCAGGAGAAATGAGGAGAGAAGGTATATGCACGTATGTTTCTCCTGCTATCAACAGAAGAAATAATTTCCAGTTACACTAAGTATACGTAGTTTGGTCACAACAGGATTTGCAGTTAAGGGAAAAATGTGAGACATGGGAGCAGAGAATGAAGGTTAGTACGGAACCGAACTGTTAAGAGATTCACTTATGTGAGAATTCCTGATTCCTCCAGGAGACTGGACTCATGCTTCTTTGTTAACATTCAGAATGGAATAAATTGGCAATTAGAAAGGATTATCTGCCTCTGATCTGCAAAACATTGCAGAAATCTAAATAAAATAAAGCTCCAGATTAGTTAGCTACAAAGACATCTAATAAGAAGCCTGCTAAATCCTGACTGTGACTTCTGGATTTAATGTTAAGGGCTATGTTCTAAAGAACAAATTGTGAAGAAGCATTAAAACTTATTGTTATAAAGGATTTTTAATGTAAAAATCAATATGTGCTGTGTATTTAGCAGCATGTAACCATGAGGATGTCTATGACAGAGCTTTGTCATGCACCAGGGACCACTGCATTAGTCAAATTCTTTAAAGGAAGTGCAGAATGTCTGCATGATTCAAACTGCCACCTGAGAGCAATTACAGAAATTATTTTAACCCCAGAAGCAGAGGAAAATCCAATCCTAGTTGACAGTCCTAAGGGTATCAAGGGTTCCACATGAAATGTGTCATTTTCAAATACAAAATTCCTGTTAGTTAAGTGATGACATAGCAGAGAAGTGGGGCACTTGCCAGTATTTTTTGGTGGCCACTGGGACTAAACACAATCACAACAAGGGCACTCTGTTGCAATATCCACTTTGCCAACATGTAAGCAAACAAAGAAATAATTACTAATAAAAAAAATTCACACTCCCAAAATGCAGAAAAGCATAATCTAAGACAGACAACACAGAACTATAGGACAGCATGACTGAAAAAAATACAGACCTGCCCATAGAGAGTCTCAGAAAAGAGAAATGTAAAACATTTTTTCTTAAATACAGATACATCATGACAGAACTCATCTTCTTTGTCAGTTAAGCCAACATAAGAGGCACATGTAGCTCTTCATCCTCTGCAAACTCACAACTCTATATGCATGAGCACATACCAAGTGTTATACAGCACATGTTTCTTAATTTTGCCCATTATGAGAGTGCCCAGTAAGGGATCGATACCCTTCAGTTAGAGAGGAAAACACAGCACCCTAGCCTGCAGATAATTTTTGACCTTACAGGATCACATTAAATGAGCATTACTCCTCATTAAAGGAAGTTTCCAAACAGAAAAGCAGGCTCTGTGCCTGACTGGTAGTGACTTTTGCTTCTGCGGCTCTTAAATTGCGTGCACGTATGTCCTTGCCTGTCTCTGGTGTTTCCTAACATTCCGTATTTATGTGGTGGTCTGCAAGTTTTACCTCATCAGGAAATCAGCAGGAGCACCATGCAACTAAGAAATACTGTTGCGCTCCTTTCTACAATTAATGTCTCTGTGGGCCTTTGAACATTTAACACAGAGCAAATGAATTATATATGTGTGTGTGTGTGTGTATGTGCATACATACCTAAGATACATAATGGCAACTGCAACCAAAGGAAACAGGAATGTGCTATGAACAGTTGGGTATTCAAGTTATCTAGTATTTCAAAAATCCAGTTGCAAGAAGCATTTAAATGTAGATGTGCACGTAAACTGCTGAAGGAGCTTCACTGAGCTTTATGCACTCACATAAACGGCTGCAAAGGCAAGAAGCAATAGAAAGGATCTAATTTTTCCCCTCAATCATGTCCAAGCCTATAGCACCAGTTATCCTATTCTTAATAATACTACTACTGAAGATCAAGCTGATCCTTTAAGATGCCCCACCTCCAGAAACAAGATACACAATCACCTCAAGTATTGAGTGATTTCTCTGATTCCCATCACCACAGTGCCTGAGCACATCACAGTTGTTTAATGTATTCTTTGTCACAGAGCAGAGAGGAAAATATGATTACCTCTATGCTATAAACGGGATGGGAGAACAAGGTAAATTGTCATGTATGGCTGGCACGCTCAGCATTAGAATAACCAGTCTCCTCTGGTTCAAAATCATACAACAATAAACGCTTTCCAGTCTAGTTTCTTCATTCCTCAAAAGTTTCTTTTCTACATTTAACCATGTAACACCAAGCAATTTGTGTGTTTTCCTGTTTATCTTAGTAAATACAAGTAAGAATAAAAAACCCATTCAGACAAATGCCCTGCTATTGTAACATCTCAATATATTTACAAAATCCTATATATAAACAAATAATACAACACATTGATGTGCTAAAAACACATTTCCTTAAAAGCAGACAATACCTCTGACAATCTAATATAAAAAATCAACTGATCACAAGCCTTTTTATATCTAATACACTGTTCTTCCACAAAACATTCCATTTAGAAGAAACAACATAGCAAGCAAATTAAAACCTGCTCATATAGCAGACAAGGATCAAAATCTATTCTTTAACAGGGGAAACAGAATAACAAGTTGTGACTACAGTGAAAAGTAAACCCAGCTAAATTCCACGTCAAACTCAAAATCCAAGAGTAACCTGAAAAATCTCTTCAAGAACTGTGCCCATTTAATCCAGAAGGTGCAGCAACATAGATTGTTTCTGACTGTCAGCTACAATTAGATACCCTGAAGATGGGTATTTTATCAAAGCAAAAAGATAAGGAAAGTATAGAAATGTCTCTATAGCTAGTCCTCCAAGTTAGAAATTACACACCTCGATCAGACGACACAACTAAAACACTTAAGTTCAGAATCTGCAATCCTTTCATGACTGTCTCAAAAAATATTAGGTTCTATCACTAGGAGAAATTATAGCAAATGATACAGGAAGAACACAGCTTTTCCAAACCAAGCTAGAATATCACCATGTCATTTTAAAGCACCACACCAACATGTAGCTATCAAAGCCATGTCTTCTGCCACCTAAGGCATGAAAAAACTTCTCACTTACCTTCTAACACCGTTAATTTGGCACTCGTGTTTATCTCCCCAACACTATTGGTTGCTGTGCACTCATAGATAGCTTCATCTCGATGAACACGCAGAGGCTGTATCCGCAGCACTGATCCTGATCCATCATCAAACTCAATAACCTTTAACAACGAAAATAAAGCATTTCTTTACTGATAACTTTTGCAACAAAACCCGAAAGTCAAAACAATCCAGGGGTTAAAAGGTTAAAAAACAAAACCCAAACCAAAACAAGCCCTGTAAGCTGTAAAACACCACGCAATCAGTCAAGTGTTCCAAGGCCAGAAATGCAATGATTTCAGAGTCAAGAACATATTTGTCCTCTGAGGAGGCTAGAACAAATGAAGATCCAACAAGGTTCCTTATGAATCAATTAAGGTTGACAAATTATCAACCTGGTAATAAAGATGTGGATCTGATGATTTAAAACATCTGAGCCATATTTGCACTAATGGTTTTACTAATCACACTGATAGCAATTTAGTGCCAACTTTCACCTTGATGAAGAGCAGAGTGATACACTCTTGTGGTATTACCAGGAAAACAGTAAGAAAACGAAAATAAAACCTTGAACACCTACAGTGCATGCCAACTCCAGCAGAAATGAGGGTTTTTAATGTCCTTCAGCATCAGGCAGTTTGCAACCCTGGCATAATCAACAATTATGTAATTACGATTCCTTCCACAGCATAATAAATTAAGTCCTTTACATATCATTGCCTTTCCATCCATCCTGCTAAGCTGTAACGTGCATTACTCTAAGTCCTACATGGAAGAAAGAGGTTATTTGTTAGTTTGCAGCTGGATCAGCATAAGCTTTTGCTTAATGGCAAGGCTGTGAAGGCACAGCCTCAGGCCACTGTTGATGTCAAACTTATCCTTCTCCTATTACTGAGCACAGCAGACATCAGAAATATTAACTCTAGTGCAGATGGTGAGAGCATGAGGGAAAGGCACAAGCCCCCCTCCTGTCACTTGGGAACCGCAGGGGCAGATGAAGAGACTAGGCTATACTTTGTTCCAGACATGTACATCAACCTACGACCTGCATTACCCCCATGCAAAACCTTGACCCTATATTCAAGAGCACTTTTTTAGGATTGCTTCTCACAGCATAAAGACCAAACGAGTGAAAACAGGAAGGAGAAAAACAATGTGCACCAGAAGACTCTGCAGTGAGGAGATACAGGAAGAAATCAAAAGGTACCCAAGACCACTGAAAATTTGTTATTCCTCACACCGGAAGGAATAGCCCATCTGTTCTAAGTAAAAGAAACTGCTTGCAAAAACCCATAGTTTGGGGTTAAGAATCAGCAAACAGGACAGAGAAATGTGAACATCACTATAGTACATTTAAAGGAATTAAAACTTTTTCTAAAAATAATTTTAATTTAAATATGAAACTGTGACAAGATCCTAAGCTTTCTATAACCTTTACACAGGACAAGGCTACTGCCAAATTTTAAAACAAGACAAAGTCAGATGCAGAGATTAATTCACTTCAGTAGTAAGGACTGAAAATCTAAGAGATGAAACAGCAGAAAAGCTCTCCTGCTCTCACTATCCTTTGAACAAACATCTTTGTATGAGATGAAGGGAGCTACAAGTACTAAGGACCTGACAGACACTGAGATCAGAAATCCTGTTCATTTGGTAATGATGGACACCTCTTTTGCGTAATAACTTGGCATGTGTACATCAGATTTGTTTATTAATTTTCTTCATTTCAACTGAATTAAAATTTTTCTCCAAATAAAGATGAGCTTAGTAATGAGGTAAAATTAATAGTTATCTAGGAAAACAAGAAAGATACTATTCACTGTCTCCTAACACAATAGAAATACCTCAACTATGTATCAAAACTGATGTGAGCAAAGGTATAAAATCGCTTGTACAAATGCATATAAGATGGCATAGCCCTCTGGTCAGCCACAATAAGCACCAAATTCACTATAAGGTTGTATTTACTTACAAATTAGAATGTTTAAATGGTTACTATACAACAAAACTTAACCTTTATTGGGGAAAAATAACAATGTAAAACAAGATTAAAATTGATTACTTTAATCAAGGTTTTCTGCTCACACACAAAATAATGATTAAAATTGGTGACTTGAATCAATCTATTCCGGGCAGCAAAGTCATCTTGTGCTCCAGTCAGAACAGCAAAAACATCAAAGATGGGATTAGAGAAAAGGCAGCAGAATAACAGAAGGGTCAAATTTCCAAGGGAAGTTTTAGAGGAAAGAACCCAAGTCCAAAAAAAGGAAAGTGGAGAAAAAGGTGGAGAAAGTCAGTGAAAATGTGTTTGTTATTTAAAATACAAACCAAATTGGACCCTTTTTGAAAAGCATTTCTGACACCTGCTCTTCCCTCTTCCTTTCACTCAGACTTTAATTCACAGCGAAGTCAAATTACTGCTCAAGATGACTTTGCCATTCCCCTTCCAAGCTCATTTGTAGGAGGGATGGCAGTAGCTTTCACTTAGGAAACCTTCCAATAGCATTTTGGCATCCCACTTCCAAATTTCACAGGGGGTGGCAGGCCAAGGAGATGCCTTATCAATTTTCACCATGAAAACAGAAAATGACTGCTAGATCCAACTCTATCTGGCACCCAATTCGGTGTAAGCCCCAGTATCCCATCTGAAGAAGGATCTCCTATGTGTGTCCTTCCAGCATCATGTTCAAAGGACACCACCTGCTCTACAGATTGCACTACTGAAGGGAAGGAAACTTACTTTACTCTGAAGCTCTAGACTCTCAATTGTAGTGATGCAGTGATACTCAGGTTGCAATGACAATTATTGTGTAATTAAGATCTGCAAGCATTAGATTGATTACAAATTTTTATTTTTTTCTAATTACCTCAAACCGCTGAGAACTGACTTTCTTCCCCTTCTTCATCCATGTGATACGAGGTTTGGGCTCTCCTGTTGCCTGACACACAAAAGAGGCCACTCCTCCAGAAATCCCAATCTGATCTTCAGGAGCTTTCATAAACGTTGGCTTGCCTGGAAAAATAACCAAATCATCCCCATGAGGACACAACATCAGATAAGCAAGGAGTGTGTCATGTTAATCTAAATTATAAGATAATTGGTGCTCCTACTACAAATCCAGGTTGAATGCCCCCAACCACACAAATTCAGTGCAGACTACAACATGACAAGCACGGTTTCTGCTTGAGTACCTTTTTTTCCTGAAATGAATAAAGTCCATCTGGCTAGCCTGTAAATGAGGGCGACAGAGGGCTCCCCCCCCGGCCCTCTGGGCATTCATTCAGGTATATGACAATTTGGAACCATTTTTACGGTTTATTTTCTTAATAAATGGATTTTTGCAGGTTTATAACACTGTCATAGCACTGGAAATTACAGAACAGCTGACACACCAAACCTACAAAATGTACCATACGTTAACATTAGTTTTCCTGAAAGCTGTTAAGACATTCATCAAAATTAACAGATACAGTTTTAAGTATACAAATTAACACCTTTAATTTTATTTTAGGTGCGGATTGACATAAAAATCCCCCAGCCTGTAAGTATCTGGAAACCTGCACAGGCTGGCCTATGCTTGGTAAGAAACTAATCACTAAAAGTGAAAGTCAGCAAAGAAACCAAAGTGACATTCAGGCCTGAAATACTCAGCAAAAAAAAAAAAAAAAAAAAAAAAAAAAAAACACATAACGATTAAAAAAAAAAAAAAAAAAAATCACATAACGCTTTAATAATCAATAAAAGATGTTTCATTAAAATATAGTTGTGTCTTCTGGATTTACACGACAGACTTGGGTGCATAAAACTGGGCACCCAGGCTGAATGTTTATATTTTTTTTCTGCACTCACTGTAAAAGAGAATTTTGCAATATGTGATCCAAGGGTCATTTTGAAACACTGCTTTGTCCAAGTGAGAGGTGTTTGATGATCTTGCATCCCTATAAAGCACTAGAACATTTAACTCCACTGAGGGAGTTAACAGAGTTCACCCGTGGTGTCATTCAGTGCATAGGTCACACTAAAGTCACGTTTCAAATAAAATTCTAATCGACCACCTCAGAGATGAACCTGACCTACAAACGGGGCAGAGACAGCTGATGGGATGTAGAAAGGAGTAAGAATGAGAGAAGAAACCTGATCAACCCCAAGATACTGAACCAACGTCCCCAGCAGAGCTGGCAGAGGTTCCACATCTTCACATTCTGGACACATCCACGAGCATGTCCTTGAGGGAGAGGGGGACAACATCTGTAAGCCCAGGTGGTTTAAACACTAAGCTTCTGAGGAACTGAGGGCTGAGTTTCCCTGATCTGGGAGGGAGATTCAGCGACACCAAAAGAAGACAATCTTTAAATGCATTTTCCTGAGATGTAAGAGATTAAAACGCTAAGGGTGCAGTTGCAAGTTACAGCTGAGCCAGCCGGGCAGCCTGCAGCTACTGGAGCCGGGGGGGCAGGGTGGCCTTGCTCTGCCCCTTGTCCCACCCACCCCCCTCCAGCCACCAGCACCCAAACCCTACAAGCAGCTCTGGGGTCAGCAGAGCTTCTGTGGAGCAGATTCAGGCCCCCAACCCCCTAACCCAACAGAAAGCAGCCTTTTTTTTTTTTCTTTTTTCTTCTTTTCCAAGCAGGGTAGGGAGCACAGTGGCTCAGGGCAGGATCAGACGAGGTGGGGGGCACTGGAAGATGGCACCTCTCCCCAGCCTCGGCAGCTGCAAGCTGGCATCTGCCACCTGAAGCTGCTGAATGCAACTTTTCCCTTAAGCAGCAATCTCTGAAGACTTTGCTAAAACTGTAGGACCCTCCCGAATCCCAGTTTCGCCTTCACTGGCAGTCACGCTTCCCATGTCTATCAGGACCCTGAGCCTCTAGGTGAGGGTGAGAGGAGAGGAATCCCTCCCACTCTAACAGCAGAACAAGTCCAAGGCCACCTCATGTCACTGAATGTCCATGGGGCCAGATGATATGCATCCCAGTGTTCTGAAGGAGCTGGCTGATGTGGTTGTCGAGTCGCTCTCCATCATATTTGAAAAATCACGGCTGTCGGGTGAAGTCCCCAGTGACTGGAAAAAAGGAAACATTACTCCTATTTTTAAGAAAGGGAGAAAAGAAGACAGCCGACCACAGGTTCAGAGTGAAGGTCAGACCAGCTGGGAGCAGGAGAAGCCACCACCAGCTGAGGACACGCTTAGCAGAGCGGGGCTGCCAGCATGCTGCTCCCAAGGCAGCAGGACAGCAGACCCCCTCAAACCGTGCGACATCAGACACTCAACACGGGCTGTGGCTGTGTGCTAGGGAGTCCACCGACCATGCACATGGACCTCAGGCACCAGCAGACATGCCAGCCCTGAACCCAGGGCATCCAGGGGTCCCAGCTGAGACACTAAGCTGCAGATCTGGAGCTCCACTACCGCTGCTTGCTCGGCTTTATTTCCAACAGCCTGTGCAGACAGTGGATCCACCAAGGTCAGCACTGCCCACGCAGACGTGAGTACACACATGCCCTGTCCTCAACAACCTTTTGAATGAACATCACAGACCTGACCCCAGAAATTCATCACACAGAGGTATACTGAATTTTGGCATCCTTGGTGAAGGGAGCCCTGAGGACTGCGCAAAGAAAAAAGCTCAAAACCCAGAAAATGCCTTTTTATTACATGATGGCTGCTGCCTGCAGTCCTTGGCACATTGTCCTGACATGAACAGCAAGCAATTATTAAGTCTGCTTGCTTAACTGATGCTGATTTCACATATTTACTCATCTATAATCATGTCTATTTCTACTTAGTTTATATTTACATATATCTGTGTTTATTCACTTCTCATCTATCTCAGTGAAATGTTAATTTACTGTTCAGGCTGCTGGTGATTGCAGTGTGATTGACTGTTTTGCTATGCAGTGTGCTGAGCTGGTATCTTGTATTACATTTCGGCAGTTGATTTGTTCTTTTGATTTTCCGTTATTTACTCTGTGATTTTAGTAAAATAGTGTAAATTTTTCAAATGAAAAATACAACAGAATCCAAAAAACTTTTGCCCTTGAAGAATACAATGCAATTATATCTCTCACTGTACACCTACTCCCCAGCTTGCACGCTGAGGACTTACTTTACTTTTGTACATTTTTAAAAAATCAATACTATTAAAAACCAGAACAAAAGGAAACTGAATGTTCACAGGCTGTAAAACCTAAAAAACCTGCTGCCTTGTTCAGCTTGAATTTACATTGTTGCAATGAATCTTTTCCCCAGCACATTTAATTGAGCAACACTGATTTCTGGAAACCATCTAAATCCACTGAGACTGGCCACAAAAGTATACCTGTATATAAACCAAATTCTCACACAGTCAGTGAAAGGGCATTTCTACAAAGCCATTTCAAACATTTGTTTAAATTTCTGAAATGGGAGGAAAGTCCTAATTAAGCAAACCTAAAATCCCGAGTCCTGGCCCCAGGACAATAGTCGGGCATGGGCATACATATGGAACTGTTACACAAATCCCAAAACTTATCTCAGTGAGAGCTAACAGAAGTGTGACAGATCAGCCATGAAAATCTTGGTGCCTGTGGAAAATGCATGTTAAGTGGACTAGACTCCCTCCGCACGTCCGCTCCAACCAACATGTCTGTAACTACTGCCTGGAGGAGGCTACTGCAGGACTAGTTACCTCCAAAGGGCAGTAGTAACAACCACTAGGGACAGGGCCAAGCAGTCTTTTTTAACCTGTTTTCGGTATTTGCACTCTTAGGGCAGCCCTAGAAACACAACCAGAAAAAAATAAGGATGTACTGAAAATACAATATTTAACCAGTAATCCAGTCCTTCTCTTCCCCCCCCCTTAAAATTCAGCACAACCAGAGTCTCCACAAAAGATTATGCACATGCCAAGCTTGAAGTTAACTGTTTGTTACTCAAACAAACTACAAATAAGTACAAGGAATTGAAATATCTTTTACAGTGAAATCCTGTCTTTTCCCTGATGGACCTAAGGACCAGGCAAAGCTCACCATCTTTTTATTGAAAGTTTAAAAAAGAGAAAAAGAGTTATGAGATTCCAAGGACGAATCTGTGAAATATCAGGTTGAGAAAGAACCTCCCCAGCAAGTCTTGGGTGACGGCAGGGAGAGGTGCTGAATGGCTGGGTGCCCATCACACACACCCTTGCTTACTCCAGCGTGTGGAGTAACAACTCCAGGCTGGTGTACCTGTCATTTGACAACTCCAAGTCCAAACAACTCCAGCCTCTCTCCCCCTGACCTCTCTGCCCAGTGTCAGATCCCTGGAGCACGTTCAGTCCTCACCCTCTAAGCTAATTCTTTCTCCTCACTTCATAACCAAGTTCCCACTACACTGGGAGTGGAAATTGCTGCTATTATCATTTCTATTCACCCAGAAGCTTAAGGCAGGAGAATGGGAAAACTTCGACCTTCTTGGCTGAAATCTTCCCTGTTTGGTCTTTGCTCAAAACTAAATTATTCTAGAGAGCTTATCAGAACAACACAGTTCCGACGAGGAAGTCTGTGAAAAACAGTGTTTTCTCGCAAGAGAAAGAAACAGACTTCATCTTATTTGGCTGGGGGCTGAAAAATAACAACTTGCTCAGACACGCTCTCCGTTAAGAAAATTTTTTTTAAAAATATTTCAGAAGAAAAGGACTTTCCTTTCACAGTCAGTAGTGTCAAAAAAGTCACTTGCTGAGCAAGCACAGATTCCTGGATAATACTATAAAGTGAATCACAAGGAGGGTCTCATGGTGTAAGAGGTGGTAGCAGAGATTTGGGCACACACAAGTCTATTTCACTATGCTGGAAAACAGCAGAAAATTAATGCAGAGACCTGCACTGAGCCCAGGAGAGTGCGTAATGCTTTCAAAAGAAATGCTCCTTCGAAGTCGTCCACAAGAAAACGGGTACAGAAAGCCAGAGAGAGAAGTACAAGCAGGCAAGTTAGGTAAGCACTCATCAGTAAGACTGTTGTCTGCCCTCCCCAGCAAAAGCAGATGTGATGAGCT